CTTTTATTAGAGGTTATTTTATTCAATATAATATTGAACTGAAAAAAAAGCACAAATAAAGTAATAAGCTATTTTACAGGAGATTAAGAAAAAAGAACTAAAGACATTGTCGATTAAGACAAATATTTTATATCAAATCAAAATACTACAGCAACAACTGTCTATGTTGACAGTAAGAGAAATGGAAACCAAAATGAATTATGTAAAACAAAGGAACTTTGAATTTGCAAACAAACCAGGAAAGCAGTTAGCCTGTAAGTTAAGGAAGGAGAAAGAAAAGAGGATGATATTGAAACTTCAAGAGGGAAATATAACCATTTGGCTATACAAAAAGCTTTTCATCGGTATTATTCCAATTTGTATAAAAGCAAGACATTTCTCTGGAAAAAATACATGAGTATTTAAAATTGCAAAACTTACCACGATTTACAGATGTACAAAGACAAACAATGAATGGACCTATAACAATAATGGAACTTTTGGAAGCTATAAAAAAGATTAAATTGGGAAAAGCACCTGGTTCAGATGGACTACCAGGGTCTTATTATAAATGTTTTGAGGATGAAATTTTACAGCCACTTCAAAATACAATGAATTCTATTTTACAAGGAGATGGGATGCCACAGTCTTGGAAAGAAGCTAATATTACCTTAATATCAAAGAGGGACAGGACTTAAACCTAACTAAAAATTACAGACCAATATCAGTACTAAATAATGACTATACATTATTTACAATTTTGGCAGTTAGACTAAAAATAATTTTATAAGACTTTGTTCATGAAGATCAATGTGGATTTTTACCTGAGACAATTAAAGATAATATTAGAACAGTACTGGATATTATAGAATATTTGGAACATCATAATGAAAAACAAGTGGCATCAATCTTTTTGGATGCAGAGAAAGCTTTTGATAATCTTAATTGGCCTTTCCTGTTTAAAGTTTTAGAAGATATGGACTTTGGTGAGAATTTTATATTGTCAGTTAAATCCATTTATGCATCACGGAAAGCACAAATTATTGCCAGTGGAGAGTTAACGAAACTATGTGAGATACAAAAAGATACAAGACAAGGATGTCCACTATCCCACTTTTGTTTATTTTGGTCTTGGAAGTTTTAAATACAGACAGTCCCTTACTTACGAACTTTCAAATTGCAAACTTTCCCCAATATGAACAAGATGGACCTGGAAGTAGGAGAAGGCAGGACTTCTCGCTTTCTCCCGCCTTCCAGGAAGTTGGAGGTTTGCATTGAAGTTGGAGTTCTTGGAAAGGGTTAGTTTACTGGGTGAGGCAGGAGAGGAAGCTGTGGCTCCCACACAGCTGCCCCCTTTACCCAGGGAGCCACCGCTGCATCTCCTGCCTCGCCTGGCAATGGAGCATGCTGTGCCCCACCAGCTCATCTCACTGCACGGTCTGTGTAGTATTGCTCCTCGCATTGACAGTAGAAGACAGAGCTCCTCTGCCCACACTGCTGTCCTCCCTCCTGCCTCCTCTCTCCCTCTTTTTTTTTTTTACTTTTTACAGTATGTTTTATGTGGTTGGACTTACGAACAAAATGGACTTACAAACAGTCTCTTGGAATGTATCCTGTTTGTAAGTAATGGACTGTTTCTATATAAGACAAGTTGAAAGGATAATGGGAGCTAAAGTCAAGAAAGAGACATATAAATTGAGAGCCTTTGCAGATGATCTGGTGTTGGGGCTAGAAGATCCTCTGAAAGGGATAGAAATACTAATGAG